CGGTGGAGATGTCACAGTGCCGTGATTAGAGCCTCGCAATCGGCCACAAACTTGTCAAAGTTGGAGATGACGGCATTGACCTGATCTTCTGTCAGACCGATGATCGGTCCCAGGATCGGCAGGTACTTGTCCACGAGGGCTTTCACTCTTCCAGAAGCTTTTCAACCGGGGCTCGGCTCAGCTGCAACGCATGATATGGTGCTGAAATCAGTACCCAATTTGTACCAGGCTCTTTGAGTTTACATCAGTCTACGTTTTGCTGAGCAATGTCCGACTTGCCGCTCGGCAAACACGTTGTAATTATCTCTGCCCATAGCAGACGACGGGAGTGCACGCATGACGGAGGAGAAAACAACAGCCTCTGTTTGTGCTCCAAAATGTAATCCCTTAAAGTGCTGCCGCAGCACTCATTAATGTGTATTGCAGAGTCGATCGGTTTGCTGCATGCTTTGTGCCTACGAAGTAAATTTGCCAGTGTCATTTTTGCGCAACGTTACAGAACCGTTTCTTATCAAGGCATGTATCCCTACTTGAACCGAAGCTCGAAGGCCAAGGAGAGCAATCACAACGCTACTGATCGATCCGATGTCACTGATAGCTACCAATCATCTCCATCTTGGGAGACGTAAGTAATGCGCAATTTTACTACATGCGGGGTGCACGTCGTCGAAAAATTAATAACATTCATGCATATCAGCTAAAATGGCCAATAATGCGTCGTTATACATGCCGGCGATGCGCACTTGAATCAATTTTTGTATACACACTGTAGATTGCCTACCAATCAGTTTTACGAACGCCCACTTCCTGGCGCTAGGCAATCCACACTCAACCAGCAATAACTTTCGCTGAGCTGGTCGGGCCCACAGAGAATGACCGGCATGAGCTGCGCATTAATTTCATGAAAATGATTGATTCTGCAAGGGGCTTGAGCTCTAATGCATGCGAAAGGCGCTTAACCATATTTACCCAAGTTGGTGTGCTGGGTTATGTAGTGTTCAGTGTAATGCTAACATTAGCTATGCCTACTTACTGTGTTTTGTTCAAAACCTGCTGTGACTAACATGGGAATAGCAGCTCGTTTTTCTGATGACTCTTTCGTGTGATTGCCTTTTAACAGAGGATCAGAAACTTTTTCATTCCTCTTTTTCTGATCTTACCACCCAGGTAGCTGGTAAGATATTCCTGGATTGTAACCACGGGTGACTGTTATAAAAATGGAGTCGGAAACCCTGCCGTGAAATCCTCATGTGTGGTGCGGGACGAACTGAAAACATTTCTCCCGACCATACCATTACTACGGGCTTTAAGTGGGAGAGCTGTCATTCTTTACATATGATTGCAGCCCATATGAACTGCCGGTCGTCCATCACATAATCCAAGTAAGTGCGGGGGCATACATTATGTGAAATCTAGTAATGAAGTTGCTGATCGTTGTAATGTTTTGCACAATAACGTACTTTGCAGCAATCAGCTCTCATACACCATTGCTGCTGACGTACTGGTGGCCATAGAAACCGTCCTGGTAGGATGGGAGCTCCGCAGTCCTTCAGAATTTTGAGCACGTCCGTCAGGATCTTCTCCAGCGCAGTGTCTATGTCGGTGGTCCGTGCTCGGCCGACTCGATGTCCTTGAGAGCGTGTCAATGTCAGCCTCAGCAGCCTTGATCTGGTCATCAGTCGACCCAGCAGCACCGGCCCCAGGGACTCGAGCCCTTGCTTAGAAGACTCTCCAGCTGAGTCAGCAGGCCGTCAAGATCGGTCGGTGTGTCGTCCGCTGTGGACAAGGAGCGTAGCTGATGCATTGGTACCCTAATGGAACTCAGCAATGGATACATGAGCTAAGCATCCAGTTGTAGGTGCTGTCTCAAACCAGCAATCGCATACGATTGGTGATTTTAAAGCTCGTGCTACCACTTTCTTCGTCATCACTGAACTGCTGACATGAACGTTATGAGCAGACATGACCACGGTCATTCACTACTCACTGGATTGGTAGTATCGATGCCCAGGGCTCTCAGGATCTCGATGATGTCGGTGACCATGTTCTCGAGTCCGGTGGAGATGTCAACGGTGCCGTGATTTAGAGCCTCGCAATCGGCCACAAACTTGTCAAAGTTGGAGATGACGGCATTGACCTGATCCTCTGTCAGACCGATGATCGGTCCCAGGATCGGCAGTACTTGTCCACGAGGCTTTCAACTCCTCCAGAAGCTTTTCAACGGGGCTCGGCTCAGCTGCAACGCATGATATGGTGCGTGAAATCAGGACCCAATTTGTACCAGGCTCTTGAGTTTACACCAGTCTAGTTTTGCATGAGCAATGTCCGACTTGCCGCTCGGCAAACACTGTTGTAATTATCTCTGCCCAAGAGCAGACGACGAGAGTGCACGCATGACGGAGGAAAAAAATGATCTCTATAGTGCTCCAAAAATGTAATCCCTTAAAGTGTTGCTGCAGCAACTCATTAGTCTGTATTGCAGAGTCGATCTGTTGCTGCATGCTTTGTGCCATGCTGGGGGGAATTTGCCATTGTCATTGTTGCGCAAACAGTTACAGAACCGTTTCTTATCAGCATGCATCCTTACTTGAACCGAAGCTCGAACGCCAAGGATACAATCACAACGCTACTTGATCCGATATCATTTATAGCTACCAGATCGTTCATCCATCTTGGGAGAGGTAGCAACGCGCAATTAGTACATGCGGGGTGCACGAATCACCTTCGAAACCTTCGAAATTCGAAAAATTAAAGCATACATGCAATCAGCTAAAATGGCCCAATAATGCGTCGTTATACATCCGGCGAGTGCGCACTTGAATCAATTTTTATATACACAACGTGTAGACTGCCTACCAATCAGTTTTACGAATGCCCACTTCCTGGCGCTAGCATCCACACTCAACCAGCAATAGCCTTTCGCTGAGCTGGTCGGGCCCACAGAGAATGACCAGCATGAGCAACGCGTTAACTTGATGAAAATGATTGATTCTGCAAGGTGGCTTGAGCTCTAAATGCATGCGAAAAGGCGCTTAGCCATATTATCCCAGTTGTGTGCTGGGTATGTAGTGTTCAGTGTAATGCTGACAGTAGCTATGTCTACTTACTGCGTTTTGTTTACAACCTGCTGGGTTGACTAACATGGCAACAAAACAGCACGTTTTGCTGATGACTCTGTTCGTCCGATTGCTTTTTAACCAGAGAATCAGAAATTTTTTTATTTCCCGTTTTTGGTTACCATGCAGGTTTCTGGTAATACTCCTAGGCGTGTAACCACAGGTGACTGTTATAAAAATAGAGTCAGGAAAACCCTTGCCGTGAAATCCTCATGTGTTGCGGGACGAACTGAAAACATTTCTCCCGACATACCCTTTCTATGGGCTTTAAGTGGGAGAGCTGTCATTCTTTACATATGATTGCAGCCTATATGACTGCCGGTCGTCAGTCATATAATCCAAGTAAGTGACGAGGCATACATTATGTAAATCTAGTAGTGAAGTTTGCTGATCGTTGTAATGTTTTGCACAACACGTACTTTGCAGCAATCAGTTCTCATACACCATTTGCCGCTGACGTACTGGTGGCCATAGAAACCGTCCTGGGTAGGATGGGAGCTCCGCAGTCCTTCAGAATGTTGAGCACGTCCGTCAGGATCTTCTCCAGCGCAGTGTCGATGTCGGTGTGTCCGTGCTCGGCCGACTCGATATCCTTGATGAGCGTGTCAATGTCAGCCTCTGCAGCCTTGATCTGGTCATCAGTCAGACCCAGCACCGGCCCCAGGGACTCGAGACCCTTGCTTAGAAGACTCTCCAGCTGAGTCAGCAGGCCGTCCAGATCGGTCGGTGTGTCGTCCTGTGGACAAGGAGCGTGTAGCTGATGCATTGGTACCCTAAATGGATCTCAGCAATGAATGCATGAGCTAAGGATCCAGTTTGTAGGTGTTGTCTCAAAACTACGCAATCGCATACGAACGGTGATTTTAAAGCTCGTGCTACCACTTTCTTCGTCATCACTGAACTGCTGACATGAACGCTATGAGCAGACATGACCAACGGTCATTCACTACTCACTGGGATTGGTAGTATCGATGCCCAGGGCTCTCAGGATCTCGATGATGTCGGTGACCATGTTCTCGAGTCCGGTGGAGATGTCAACGGTGCCGTGATTTAGAGCCTCGCAATCGGCCACAAACTTGTCAAAGTTGGAGATGACGGCATTGACCTGATCCTCTGTCAGACCGATGATCGGTCCCAGGATCGGCAGGTACTTGTCCACGAGGGCTTTCAACTCCTCCAGAAGCTTTTCAACGGGGCTCGGCTCAGCTGCAACGCATGATATGGTGCGTGAAATCAGTACCCAATTTGCACCAAGGCTCTTGAGTTTACACACAGTCTACGTTTTGCATGAGCAATGTCCGACTTGCCGCTCGGCAACACTGTTGTAATTATCTCTGCCCAAGAGCAGACGACGAGAGTGCACGCATGACGGAGGAAAAAAAACATGATCTCTATAGTGCTCCAAAAAATGTAATCCCTTAAAGTGTTGCTGCAGCACCTCATTAGTCTGTATTGCAGAGTCGATCTGTTGCTGCATGCTTTGTGCCATGCTGGGGGAATTTGCCATTGTCAGTTGCGCAAAAGTTACAGAACCGTTTCTTATCAGCATGCATCCTTACTTGAACTGAAGCTCGAACGCCAATACAATCACAACGCTACTTGATCCGATATCATTTATAGCTACCAGATCGTTCATCCATCTTGGGAGAGGTAAGCAACGCGCATTTAGTACATGCGGGTGCACGAATCACCTTCGAAACCTTCGAACCTTCGAAAAATTAATAGCATACATGCATATCAGCTAAAATGGCCCAATAATGCGTCGTTATACATGCCGGCGAGTGCGCACTTGAATCAATTTTTATATACACACGTGTAGACTGCCTACCAATCAGTTTTACGAATGCCCACTTCCTGGCGCTAGCATCCACACTCAACCAGCAATAGCCTTTCGCTGAGCTGGTCGGGCCCACAGAGAATGACCAGCATGAGCAACGCGTTAACTTGATGAAAATGATTGATTCTGCAAGGTGGCTTGAGCTCTAAATGCATGCGAAAAGGCGCTTAGCCATATTTATCCCAGGTTGTGTGCTGGGTATGTAGTGTTCAGTGTAATGCTGACAGTAGCTATGTCTACTTACTGCGTTTTGTTTAACACCTGCTGGGTTGACTAACATGGCAACAAAACAGCACGTTTTGCTGATGACTCTGTTCGTCCGATTGCTTTTTAACCAGAGAATCAGAATTTTTTTATTCCCCGTTTTTATGATGTTACCATGCAGGTTGCTGGTAAGATACTCCTAGGCGTGTAACCACAGGTGACTGTTATAAAAATGGAGTCAGGAAAACCCTTGCCGTGAAATCCTCATGTGTGTGCGGGACGAACTGAAAACATTTCTCCCGACATACCATTACTACGGGCTTTAAGTGGGAGAGCTGTCATTCTTTACATATGATTGCAGCCTATATGACTGCCGGTCGTCAGTCACATAATCCAAGTAAGTGAGGAGGCATACATTATGTAAAATCTAGTAATGAAGTTTGCTGATCGTTGTAATGTTTTGCACAACAACGTACTTTGCAGCAATCAGTTCTCATACACCATTTGCCGCTGACGTACTGGTGACCATAGAAACCGTCCTGGGTAGGATGGGAGCTCCGCAGTCCTTCAGAATGTTGAGCACGTCCGTCAGGATCTTCTCCAGCGCAGTGTCGATGTCGGTGTGTCCGTGCTCGGCCGACTCGATGTCCTTGATGAGCGTGTCAATGTCAGCCTCTGCAGCCTTGATCTGGTCATCAGTCAGACCCAGCACCGGCCCCAGGGACTCGAGACCCTTGCTTAGAAGACTCTCCAGCTGAGTCAGCAGGCCGTCCAGATCGGTCGGTGTGTCGTCCGCTGTGGACAAGGAGCGTGTAGCTGATGCATTGGTACCCTAAATGGATCTCAGCAATGAATGCATGAGCTAAGGATCCAGTTTGTAGGTGTTGTCTCAAAACTACGCAATCGCATACGAATGGTGATTTTAAAGCTCGTGCTACCACTTTCTTCGTCATCACTGAACTGCTGACATGAACGCTATGAGCAGACATGACCAACGGTCATTCACTACTCACTGGGATTGGTAGTATCGATGCCCAGGGCTCTCAGGATCTCGATGATGTCGGTGACCATGTTCTCGAGTCCGGTGGAGATGTCAACGGTGCCGTGATTTAGAGCCTCGCAATCGGCCACAAACTTGTCAAAGTTGGAGATGACGGCATTGACCTGATCCTCTGTCAGACCGATGATCGGTCCCAGGATCGGCAGGTACTTGTCCACGAGGGCTTTCAACTCCTCCAGAAGCTTTTCAACGGGGCTCGGCTCAGCTGCAACGCATGATATGGTGCGTGAAATCAGGACCCAATTTGTACCAAGGCTCTTGAGTTTACACCAGTCTACGTTTTGCATGAGCAATGTCCGACTTGCCGCTCGGCAAACACTGTTGTAATTATCTCTGCCCAAGAGCAGACGACGAGAGTGCACGCATGACGGAGGAAAAAAACATGACCTCTGTTGTGCTCCAAAAAATGCAATCCTTGAAGTGCTGCTGCAGCACCTCATTAATCTGTATTGCAGAGTCGATCTGTTGCTGCATGCCTTGTGCCATGCTGGAGGAATTTGCCATTGTCATTGCTGCGCGCAAACAGTTACAGAACCGTTTCTTATCAGCATGTACCCCTACTTGAACCGAAGCTCGAACCCAAGGATACAATCACAACGCTACTTGATCGATGTCACTGATAGCTACCAGATCGTTCATCCATCTTGGGAGAGGTAAGCAATGCGCTATTTAGTACATGCGGAGTGCACGTCGTCGAAAAATTAATAGCATACATGCATTTTAGCTAAAATGGCCCAATAATGCGTCGTTATACATGCCGGCGAGTGCGCACTTGAATCAATTTTTGTATACACACGTGTAGATTGCCTACCAATCAGTTTTACGAATGCCCACTTCCTGGCGCTAGCATCCAAACTCAACCAGCAATAATCTTTCGCTGAGCTGGTCGGGCCCACAGAGAATGACCGGCATGAGCTGCGCATTAATTTCATGAAAATGATTGATTCTGCAAGGTGGCTTGAGCTCTAAATGCATGCGAAAAGGCGCTTAGCCATATTTATCCCAGGTTGTGTGCTGGGTATGTAGTGTGCAGTGTAATGCTGACAGTAGCTATGCCTACTTATTGCGTTTTGTTTAACACCTGCTGTGTTGACTAGCATGGAAACAGAACAGCACGTTTTGCTGATGACTCTGTTCGTCCGATTGCTTTTTAACCAGAGAATCAGAAATTTGTTCATTCCCCGTTCTTGTGATGTTACTATGCAGGTTACTGGTAAGATATTCCTAGAATTACAACCACAGGTGACTGTTATAAAAATGGCGTCAGGAAAACCCTTGCAGTGAAATCCTCATGTGTGTGCGGGACGAACTGAAAACATTTCTCCCGACATACCATTACTATGGGCGTTAAGTGGGAGAGCTGTCGTTCTGAACATATAATTGCAGTCCATATGACTGCCGGTCGTCGGTTATATAATCCAAGGAAGTGAGGAGGCATACATTACGTGAAATCCAGTAATGAAGTTTGCTGACCGTTGTAATGTTTTGCAAAATAACGTACTTTGCAGCAATCAGTTCTCATACACCAATTGCTGCTGACGTACTGGTGGCCATAGAAACCGTCCTGGGTAGGATGGGAGCTCCGCAGTCCTTCAGAATGTTGAGCACGTCCGTCAGGATCTTCTCCAGCGCAGTGTCGATGTCGGTGTGTCCGTGCTCGGCCGACTCGATGTCTTTGATGAGCGTGTCAATGTCAGCCTCAGCAGCCTTGATCTGGTCATCAGTCAGACCCAGCACCGGCCCCAGGGACTCGAGCCCCTTGCTTAGAAGACTCTCCAGCTGAGTCAGCAGGCCGTCCAGATCGGTCGGTGTGTCGTCAGCTGTGGACAAGGAGCGTGGAGCTGATGCATTGGTACCCTAAATGGAACTCAGCAATGGATACATGAGCTAAGCATCCGGTTTGTAGGTGCTGTCTCAAAACTACGCATTTACATACTATTGGTGATTTTGAGGCTCGTGGTTACTACTTTTTTCGTCATCACTGAACTGCTGACATGAACGCTATGAGCAGACATGACCAACGGTCATTCACTACTCACTAGGATTGGTAGTATCGATGCCCAGGGCTCTCAGGATCTCGATGATGTCGGTGACCATGTTCTCGAGTCCGGTGGAGATGTCAACAGTGCCGTGATTTAGAGCCTCGCAATCGGCCACAAACTTGTCAAAGTTGGAGATGACGGCATTGACCTGATCTTCTGTCAGACCGATGATCGGTCCCAGGATCGGCAGGTACTTGTCCACGAGGGCTTTCAACTCTTCCAGAAGCTTTTCAACGGGGCTCGGCTCAGCTGCAACGCATGATATGGTGCGTGAAATCAGTACCCAATTTGTACCAAGGCTCTTGAGTTTACACAAGTCTACGTTTTGCATGAGCAATGTCCGACTTGCCGCTCGGCAAACACTGTTGTAATTATCTCTGCCCAAGAGCCGACGACGGGAGTGCACGCACGGAGGAAAAAAAACATGACCTCTGTTGTGCTCCAAAAATGTAATGACTTAAAGTGCTGCCGCAGCACCTCATTAATCTGCATTGCAGAGTCAATCTGTTGCTGCATGCTTTGTGCCATACCGAAGTAAATTTGCCATTGTCATTCTTGCGCAGTTACAGAACCGTTTCTTATCAGCATGTATCCCTACTTGAACCAAAGCTCGAAGGTCAAGGATACAATCACAACGCTACTTGATCCGATATCACTGATAGCTACCAGATCAATCATCCATCTTGGGAGATGTAAGCAACGCGCTATTAATACATACGGGGTGCACGTCGTCGAAAAATTACTAACATTTATGCATATCAGCTAAAATGGCCCAAAAATGCGTCGTTTTACATGCCGGCGAGTGCGCACTTGAATCAATTTTTGTATACAAACGTGTAGATTGCCTACCAATCAGCCTTACGAACGCCCACTTCCTGGCGCTAGCATCCACACTCAACCAGCAATAACCTTTCGCTGAGCTGGTCGGGCCCACAGAGAATGACCGGCATGAGCTGCGCATTAATTTCATGAAAATGATTGATTCTGCAAGGTGGCTTGAGCTCTAAATGCATGCGAAAAGGCGCTTAGCCATATTTATCCCAGGTTGTGTGCTGGGTATGTAGTGTGCAGTGTAATGCTGACAGTAGCTATGCCTACTTATTGCGTTTTGTTTAACACCTGCTGTGTTGACTAGCATGGAAACAGAACAGCACGTTTTGCTGATGACTCTGTTCGTCCGATTGCTTTTTAACCAGAGAATCAGAAATTTGTTCATTCCCCGTTCTTGTGATGTTACTATGCAGGTTACTGGTAAGATATTCCTAGAATTACAACCACAGGTGACTGTTATAAAAATGGCGTCAGGAAAACCCTTGCAGTGAAATCCTCATGTGTGTGCGGGACGAACTGAAAACATTTCTCCCGACATACCATTACTATGGGCGTTAAGTGGGAGAGCTGTCGTTCTGAACATATAATTGCAGTCCATATGACTGCCGGTCGTCGGTTATATAATCCAAGGAAGTGAGGAGGCATACATTACGTGAAATCCAGTAATGAAGTTTGCTGACCGTTGTAATGTTTTGCAAAATAACGTACTTTGCAGCAATCAGTTCTCATACACCAATTGCTGCTGACGTACTGGTGGCCATAGAAACCGTCCTGGGTAGGATGGGAGCTCCGCAGTCCTTCAGAATGTTGAGCACGTCCGTCAGGATCTTCTCCAGCGCAGTGTCGATGTCGGTGTGTCCGTGCTCGGCCGACTCGATGTCTTTGATGAGCGTGTCAATGTCAGCCTCAGCAGCCTTGATCTGGTCATCAGTCAGACCCAGCACCGGCCCCAGGGACTCGAGACCCTTGCTTAGAAGACTCTCCAGCTGAGTCAGCAGGCCGTCCAGACCGGTCGGTGTGTCGTCAGCTGTGGACAGAGTGCGGGTAACGCATCGGTTCATCGGTTCATCGGTTCATCGGTTCTCTATTGGCTCTCCACATGACATCCAGTATGTACAAAATGCGTACTCAACCTCGAGTTTTTAAGCCAGGTTTCAATGCTGCGCAATAACGTATGGATCGAGACTTCCAACCTGATGTCCCTTTTTTCTTTGTCATCACTGATCCGTTGATATGAACATTATGAGCAGACGTGATCAATAGCTATACGTTACTCACTAGGATTGGTAGTATCGATGCCCAGGGCTCTCAGGATCTCGATGATGTCGGTGACCATGTTCTCGAGTCCGGTGGAGATTTCAACGGTGCCGTGATTTAGAGCCTCGCAATCGGCTACAAACTTGTCAAAGTTGGAGATGACGGCGTTGACCTGATCCTCTGTCAGACCGATGATCGGTCCCAGGATCGGCAGGTACTTGTCCACGAGGGCTTTCAACTCCTCCAGAAGCTTTTCAACGGGGCTCGGCTCAGCTGAAAAGCATGAATGGGAACGTGAATAGACTATGGCGGCGAGTGATCAACACCTCTAAAAGACTGGGTTACAAGTTCAATGTTTGCTATGTCCATCCGACAATCGCTTGTATTATGGACTCTACGAAACCAGCCGGGAATAGAAAAGGCTTTTTTTCGCGGTCGCGGAACGCGGCATTACAGATATGGCGCTGCTTGCGCATATTCTCGCGATGTAGCATCGCTTCTCATAAGGTCGTGCGATCTCGATGCGACGAGCATGGCCCGTGCAAGGAACCCTTGGCGTTGCATTCATTCCAATACGCTTCTTATTTTAGCATCGAAGTTGTCGACAAGTTGTTGACAACAGTTTCATGAAGTGCTGTCAGTATTTCACTTCGTGTTTCATGATTAAATGAGGAAGTGTATAAGCCTTGGGAGAGAAATTTGGAATTTTCTGCCTTCCAATGCAGCAAAATCGTTCTCTGCGTTCATCTTCGCTCTTTTACTAGTGCAGAAGTTGAATATGTTGTAAAATGCAATTTAATGAATGCTGGTAAAGTTTCACCTTTGTCGTTGTGACAGCAAGGTGTGCATAATATGTGTTTTACGTACTGGTGACCGTGTAGACACTCCTGAAAAAGATGGGAGCTCCACAGTCCTTCAGAATGTTCAGCACGTCCGTCAGGATCTTCTCCAGCGCAGTGTCGATGTCGGTGTGTCCGTGCTCGGCCGACTCGATGTCCTTGATGAGCATGTCAATGTCAGCCTCAGCAGCCTTGATCTGGTCATCAGCCAGACCCAGAACCGGTCCCAGAGACTCGAGCCCCTTGTTCAGAAGACTCTCCAGCTGAGTCAACACACTGTCCAGATCTGTCGGTGTGTCGTCGTCCGCTGTGGACAAAGGACATACAGACGTTGAACTGCTTCACTAATATTGGGTGAGCAATTAAAAAGTAAGCGGGCCGGAAAGTTTACAAAAGATGTTGGAAATACGCATATAATATAATGACCCATGGCTTCCAAAGGCACCTGTTATAATGTCGTCGTTTAGATTGAGGCATTCAGATTTCGATGTTTGTGCACTTTTTCAAAATCTCAATTGGTACTCACTGGGGTTGGTTTGATCAATGCCCAAGGCTTTCAGGATGTCAATGATGTCGGTGACCATGTTCTCGAGTCCCGTGGAGATATTCACTGTGCCGTGTTCCAGAGCCTCTACATCAGCCACAAACTTGTCAAAGCTAGAGACGATGGAGCTGATCTGGTCCTCGGTGAGGCCGGCGAGAGGTCCAAACATCGGCAGGTAGCGGTCCACGATTGCCTTCAGCTCGCCTAGCAGCTTGTCCACAGGGCTCGGCTCGGCTGCGGGACGACTTATGATCAGCGTTCGCACGGCCGGGCCGGGAGTTGGTGGCCTCTGTGGTTTGTGAAATCGGGCTGATTGTTGGGAAATGCGACGATCAGCCCATGGTTTCTGAGCGTTCTTGTTCGTATCGTCCTGGTACTGATGTTTAGGTTGATAATGAGCGGTTTTCTTTGAACAACTTTAAATTCCAATCAATTTCTGAAGCACCCTGCATATATCTGTAATTTATGTGTGAAACAAGATGTCAGATGGCTGTATATTGTTTTATTATTTTTCCACTCTAGTGCCTTGGGGCGCGCTCTCCATATGAAAGCACAGTGCGCAAAGTGCAAGATAATTGGTGCGTATAATGTCAAGTCAGAACATGCACATCCCGCTCTAAACTGCTTCTGACTTATCCTCTTTGGCTGAAAGTAAATTCGTTAGTCAGAGGATCGGAGCAGAGCTAATGACAGCATCCACAGACAGAGCCAAACAAACTCCCGAAGCGAGCGTCGCTGAGTTCGACGGTGTCTTGGAAATACAGTCAGATTCAGGGCTGATGCGCTACAGAGGATATATGCGTGCATATTTATTTAATGTATGTATATATATATGTATATATATACATATATATATATATATATATATATATATTATTTATCTGCGTACGTATGTATGTATGCATGTATGTTTATAATGCATACGTACATATTCAAAGGTAAATGTTCCGCTCAAAACTGCTGATCTGGACAGAAATCAAAATAAAAAAGACCTGCGTGGAACCCATTGTTGCACACAAAAGACGAAATATATAGGTTTGCGGTGACGGCGGAGGATAGTAACTCAGTAAATGCAGAATAGTAAATGGTGAATGGGTCCATGATAGTGAGGCTTTGCCGGTTCTGGCAGATGCTGGTTGACAATAAATGCATTTT